TTTTTTTTATCCCCCTTTTTTTTTCCTACCCCTCCCCTCTTTTTTTTTCTTTTTTTCCTTTTTGCTTCACCTTTGTGCCCCTCGTGGTGGAGTCTTTAATGAACTTGACTGCTGCTGTTGCGCTGCTTCTCTCCCAACCCCACCCCCACTTCCACACATGCACCTTCCATTTCTGCTGTTGCTGGCGTACGATGATTATATTTTGTTGTTGTTGTTTTTTAACTACTTATAATACACAAGCGTCACAGTGGCCGAGTTGTTTTCACCATTTCACCCCTTTCCTCATTTTGTTCCGTTGATGTTTTGGTGACGTTTTGTTATGTTACCTTATGTATGCAAGTCCTCCCCCTCCCCCTCCCTTCTGTGTGTCTGCGTGTTTGTTTGTTTGTTTGTTTTTCGTTTGTTCTTTCAGCGTGATTTCCACCGCCCCCATCACCCTGCGACGTTCCCCCGTCAATCCCCCTCCCCCACCCCCACCGCGGGACCCGCCCTAACACGCAATATGCAGATGCTTTGCTGGTAGTGAGTCCTTTTGGATTTGTGGATGTTGTCACCGCGGTGGTGGGACGTGGGGCGGTTGTACAAGTAGGCTAGGCTGCTGTGAGCGAAGACACGGAGACGGGAGGTTTGCTCTGATGAAAGGTAAATGGAGGGAACTTCTCCTGCCTTCACTGCTTAAGGGTTGACACTGTTGAAGTTCCCACCCACACTTATTTTGTTTGATTGCCCTTGATTATCATTGTCACTCGTTGTTTGCTAAATTTTGTTTTGGTGGTGGAGAGGGGGCGTCTTGTTATAATGGTGCGGACTATCTCTTGCTGTTTGTTTGTTTTTGTTACTTTTTATACCGCAGCAGCTTTTGCTTGCCACCAGCGGGCATATGCTGCTGCACGCACGCATACTGAGGGCATCTCCTCTGCAATCGGGGCCTGCCTGCCTGCTTCCATTGTCCTCTCTTTCCCTCTCATTGACACGCGCGAGCACACACATCTTCTCCCTTACCGTTTCTGTGCGTGCATTTAACGTGAATTCGTCTTACTGTGCGCTTCTTGCGCACACATGCACGAGCTGCCCCGATTCCATCGCTTGCTGTGCGTGGCTGGGGCGGGCCCAAACTGCAGTGGAGCACACGGAATAGGTGGGCGAGACGGTGAGAGCCAAAGAAAAGTATGCCATGATGGGCAACGCGCTCTTCGGAATGATAATAATAAAAGAGGATATCAAGAGGTGAAAATGGCGACTTTTTTGCAGCTTGGAGATCGTGAGAGGAGGGAAGAGTGGGGAATCGCTGCATGGGCGCGGCTGCGCCCGAGTGGCGACGGAACGAGTTTAGAAAAGGCATATCGAGCCGACAAGGAAGGTGCAGGGAGAGAGAGACCGCACTGGCGGAGAGAAGGAGTCAAGAGGGAAGCGACGAAACATCAGCCAACGAAAGGAAACAAAGACCGATTTGAAGAGTGGCACCTAAAAGGCAGTGAGCAGGGGAAATGTCTCAAGTACGAGTGGACCGCGACGCGGTAAGGCGGAGGGGGGCAGCGATGCCGTGGAGTTTGGTTTAAGTTGACCCAAACATACGGATACACACAGACACACGTTGTTGTTATTTAGCGCCTCCCTGCTTCTGTGGCGGATGTGTCTAGCAAATATATATTGGGGAGTGTCTTTTTTTTTTCTAGGTTTTTCCAAAGACATGCATAGAAACAAAAGCAAAAAAAAAAATGAGAAGTAGTGCGTGGTAGCGGGGTTTTGGGTGCCTGTGTGCGAGTAAAGCAGGAAGTAACGAAAAAAAAAAAAAATCTTAAAAAACAAAAAAAAACTAAACTTAACTAAAGAAACGAGGGTGTGTGGCACGGCGCCGCCTATTACCTATGCCTATGAGTCGTCAAAAGTGTAATAATGTATCATCGCGTATATATATATATATATATATATATATATATACTCG